TTTGTATGTTTCAGGTTTTAATTTTAAGTAAGTAACTTTTAATGTTTCATATTTGTCTTAATTATGTTTGTATGTTTCAGCTTATTATTTTATATAAGTAATGAAATAATTTATATTAGTCTTAATTTCTTTTATCTGTTACAGATTTTTATTTTATATAAGTAATGTAATAATTTCTATTTGTCTTAATTTCTTTTATCTGTTACAGATTTCTATTTTATGTAAGTAATGAAATAATTTATATTTGTCTTAACTACTTTTGTTTGTTTCAGAATTTTTATTTTATGTAAGTAAGTGAATTATTCATATGTGTCTTAATTATATTACTATTTTTCAGATTTTTATTTTAATAATTCATGTTTGTATTAATTTCTTTCTGACGTTTCAGGTTTTTATTCTAATAATTCATATTTCTCTTAATTTCTTTCAGATGTTTCAGGTTTTTATTTTTCAGATTTTAATTAGGTAATGAAATGTTTCATATGTATCTTAATTACATTTTTATGTTACAGATTTTGATCGTAAGTAACTAAGTATTTCTCAAATAAATCGTAATTTTATTTGCGTATTTTTATCGAGTCAACTCGAGATGTATTTCTCTTTTATTCCAAAAATGCTAATATGAATTTTGCATGGTAGCATGAATTGTGCATGGTAGCATGAATTGTGCATGCCTAAACATTATAACGTTACTAGTCTTAGATTTGCTTTTCTATTTCCTCTTTTTATTAATACACCTAATTAGTCTACAGGTAAGAAAGAAGTCATCACTGAAGACTTCCTTCGTGGGATTTCATCAACTAACGCGCTAATTTTAAGTAATTTTAAGTTGCTATTGTAATATATTGTAGTACGAATGAGTAAATGTGTGAATGGCGTATACGCGAAGATCGAAGACATCAATCATCGAGGGATCTTCGAGGGATGCGTGCGTTAGCTATAAGTTAATGTTACGCGTGCGTTAGTTTTAAGTTAATCGTAATCGTGTGGGCAGGGTGGGTGGGTCCCTGTAAGTGCCTCTTATTCTAACTTGCACTCATCTTCACAACTCTCAATCTTTGTACGCGTTAGCTTATAGTATATTCAGCTATTTTTTGTCAATCGTTCCGAACCCAAGTGGATCATTGGGGGTTCATAGCGCTGTGAACACGCGGCAGAGGTGAGCTGCAAGTGCTGGTGTAGCGCCAGGGACACATCTCTGCGGGGC